GTATACTATATATAAACACACATACATCCACTCACATACACACACACACACACACACACACACACACCTACACACACACACACACACACACACACATTTCTCCACACGCATAAACACAGGCCTGAGTTTGGAGCGTATGAGTCATAAACGTTCTGCTTCTTTGATTCTCTGCACATTTTCTTACTGTTTTAAAGTTCAGGAGGGTCTAAAACTCTGAGACCACATCGACGATCTGGGATTTTATTCATTTAAACCTGGAAAAAAACAGATTTTTTCTGTTTTATATATTTTTTTGTGAAAAACTTTTCTTTGTTGTATATGAAGAATGTGTTGTTTGGTTCTATTTAGCACCAAAAAAGAGTTACAATGTCAAGCACGCAACCATAGGACACTCTTTAGTGCTATACACTCTTAAAAAAGATGGTTCTTCAAGGGTAAAGACATTAGTTCTAGAACCATGAACACTCAAAAGAACCACAGCATCTTCAGTGATTCTTTGCACAGTAAATGGTTCCGCAGATTGATGGAGAATGTGTTGTAGATGGTTCTATATAGAACCTTTTTGAAAAGGGTTCTACATAGCACCAAAAAGGGTTAGAATGTCAAGCTTGTAACAGTAGAACACTTTTTGTTGCTATACACTGTTAAAAAAGATGGTTCTTCAAAGATCCTTTAGTGAAGACAGTGGTTCTTTATAGAACCATGAGCACTCAAAGAACCATTTGTATCTTAAATAGTTCTTTGCATGGATAAATGGTTCTATAGATTGATGTAAATGTGTTGTAGATGGTTCTATATAGAACCTTTTTGAAAAGGGTTCTCTATAGCACCAAAAAGTTTACACAATACCACCAGCGATGTCTAGCCTGTAACAATAGAAGAACATTTTTTGGTTCCATATAGAACCATTCACACTCAAAGAACCATTTGCATCTTAAATGGTTCTGAAGATTGATGGAGAATGTGTTGTATATGGTTCTATATAGCACCAAAAAGGGTTCTGCTACTGTAACAATGTCAAGATGGAATACAATAGCAGAACACTTTTTGGTGCTATATAGAACCATATACAACACATTTTCCATCTTTAGTAAAGACAATGGTTCTATATAGAACCATGAACGCTCAAAAAACATTTGCATGCTTTGTATGGTGAGGTGGTTCTTCAGGTTGATGGAGGGTGTGTCTTATATGGTTCTGTACAGAACATTTTGGGAAAGGGTTCTGTATAGCACCAAGAAGGTTCTGCTGTTGTCATGATGTAAAGCTTTTTGGTGCTATATAGAACCATTTTCAAAAAGGTTCCAAATAGAACCATATACAACACATTCTCCATCAATCCGAAGAACCATTTCACCATGCAGAGAACCATTTAGCATAAAACTGGTTCTGTATAGAACTGATGGTTCTAAATAGAACCATTACCTTTACTAGAACCCTTGAAGAACCGTCTTTTTACGGAGTGTACTTTACCAGAAGGTGAATAATTTGAAAACTGTGCTCGTTTCTACACATAATAATCATTTAAGATTTTTAATTCACTACAAATTTAAATAAATTTGCACATTGATTTGTGATTGATTATGTCGAGGACTCTCAGGTGGATCTGATGGGCTTATCAGAGACTTCTGAACAAACCTGTGGAGTCCAGCTTGACTGCACGCTGTTATTACAGTGGAAAAAGGGACACAACACCAAACACTGAGAAATTCTGCAATTAATGTAAATAATTCAAAAATTCTACCTTTTCACTCAGATTGTTATGCTGATTATATAATGGATAGTATAAGTTTTGTATTACAAAAAAACAAAAAATGCATTTTAACTGAATTATAATTTCAATATGTACCTTTAATTTTTTGTGCTGTGATCTCACACTTTAATTCTGCAAAGGCAGTTTTGCTCTGTTCAGTCTCTTAATGTGCCTTTAATTCAGATTTGCCTCAGAACTCACTGAAGTTACACATAAAGTCTAAATCATTTTCCCTCTTGATCATTAGTGTGAAGTTCAGCCGAATCCCCGCCCCTTTATTGTTAGTAGTAATTGCAAAGCAATGCACAACACTATTGTTATCCCATTTATATTCTTGTTATTATTATTTTTCTGTTGGATTTTAAAAACTATCGAGACTCTTCCAACTCCAGAATGTTCGGTCTGACCGGGAATGGTGTGCTTGTGTACAGCTGTTTGATTGGACGCATGGTTTTTGTACAGTCATCGTTGAATTCTGATTTTTTTTTGAAAAAAAATGAATGGGAGTTTGAGTACCCAACTTATGTCATGTTGATTCAAGTCTATTGGCAACACTATTAACCATGTGGGGAACCATAGCAAACACCTAGCAATGCCCTAGCAACTACTTGGGATACCATAGCAACCACCTAGCAACACCCTAGCAACCACCTAAAATGACATAGTAACCTTTCAGGAACACCCTAGTAACCATCTGGGAAACCATAGCAACCACCTAGCAACACCCTAGCAACCACCTAAAATGACATAGTAACCTTTCAGGAACACCCTAGTAACCACCTGGGATACTCTAGCAACCACCTAGCAATACCCTAGAAACCACCTGGGATACCATAACAACTGCCTGGGATACCACAGCAACCCCCCCTCAAAATGCAGGAAATTCGCTGTTCTAGTTACTATGATTATTATATTAACTATTATGATCATTATGATGATGATGATGATAACGATTGTTATTATTATTATTATTATTATTATTATTATTATGTCCTAATATAAATGTCTTTATATTCACCTTAATAAGAATATATTCAAGTATAATTCATCAAACATTAATCGAGTACACTTTTATGCATAAAATATGTTTTTCTCATGTTTCTGACTCAGATCTTGTTTTGAAGGTCAGCTGATGATCCTACTCTCCTCCCACTAAAGCCACATTTCTGCTGCTGCCACTTTAGTTTCTCACAGACTTAAACTTCGCCAACCACAAGTGACCAGAGCACACGCGTCCATCATTATCATCATCGCCATCATCATCGTTCTGATCTCCTGCCTTTATAGTCACCTTCATGAGAAGAGATCACCTCACCTTCTCCTTCAGACCTGAGACTAAGGCCCCGTCCCATTTCTTCTTTTTACCCCTACCCCTTGTTTTCGAGTGTCACCTTAACCCCTTGGAACTGAGTTACAGGGTAGTGGTTGAAATCTTCCCTCTGAAATGAGACCCTCAAATAAAAAGAGCATCACTTCATTAACAGCTACCAGCGCTGCTCTGTAGGCGACGCTGCCAGTCTGCAGTGACAGCAGAGGAGGGTAAAGTTCAGCTCCTCACTGCTGGGCTTTAGTTACATTTAGGGCATCATATGATCTTCAAAGAGGGGGGCAATTATTTATTATCACCACCCCTAATTCTTCAGTGATATGAAGCTGAAGTCAGATATTCACCAGATTCTTGTTTGAATTTTCCCGTTCCACCTTAAATGGTGCAGCAGTTACATTCTGGCGCTTCAGGCCTCAGAACTGCTGGACTATTTAAGGCTGAACGGGAAAGTTAGCTAGTTAGCTACTGAGACATCAGCATACTATTAGAGATTTTTTTATGCTTGTTATGAAGAAAAGGACCAAAATACACTGAAACGACATTAAACTAAGAAAATACAGTGGTTATTGTAATTTTTAACAGAGAAAATTCTCACATTTGTGGGTTTCTTTGGTCTCTTGTTCTCCATCTTGCCGGTTTTTCTAAAACTCTCTGTTTGGAATCTCTGAAAAACCTCCGTTTGGAGGGTCATGTAGCCCCAACACTTCACCCTCCCCCTCTATCTCAACAAGAATCGGGACACCCTACCCCTGGACATGAACACACAAAACAGAGGGCTAAGGGCTGAGTGGTAGGGGCGAGGGGTGAAATGGGACGGGGCCTAAAGAGTCTGGAGACATTTGAACGTGGGATCATCAACACACACTCTTAAATAAGATGAATCTTATAGGGTTCTTTAGTAAAGACAACGGTTCTGCACTCAAAGAACCATTTGCATACTGAAATTTCACCATGTTGCATGAGAAATGGTTCTTCAGACTTCTATTTTTCAAAAGAACCATATAAAAGAACTTTTTGCAAAGGGTTCTACGCAGTGCCAAAAAGCGTTCTTCTACTGCTGTGATGTCAAGCTTGTAACAATAGAAGAACCTTTTTTGGTCCTATATAGAACCCTTTTCAAAAAGGTTCTATTTAGAACCATCTAAAGCACATTCTCCATCAATCTAGTAGAACCAATCAATAAGTAGAACCATGTTCTTTACTAAAGAACCCCTAAAGAACCATATGATTTACTAAATATTCACATTCTGGTAAAGTACACTGTTAAAGAACATGGTTCTTCAAGGGTCCTTCAGTAAGGCAATGGTTCTGTTTAGAACCAAAAAGGGTTCTACAAGCTTGACATCATAACAATAGTGAAACTCTTTTTGGTGCCATATAGAACCATATAGAACACGTTCTCCTTCAATCTGAAGAGCCATTTCACCATGTAGATATCTCATTGACGCAAATGGTTCTACAAAGAGCCCACATTTCATTGCCTTTACTGAAGAACCCTTGAAGAACCGTGGTTCATTTTGTTTATTTTTGCTGCTACAAGTCCAAGATTCCTCTGCGAGTTTTCTCGAAGGTTTTTCCAGCTCATACTTTCCTCACTAAATTTTTTTTGAAGTTCAGCTCAGAAACCCCCCCCCCACTCCGCACCCACCCCCGCCAGCCCCCCTCCACCCCAGCCAGCCCCCCTCCACCCCAGCCAGTCCCCCTCCACACACACACTCAGTCGGTCAGAGTGTACGGGTTCTCGTTCTGTCACTTTCAGACGCTTTTATTTCTAACAGATGCAGCTGGAACTTCCACCCACGAGTGACCAACAACATGAGTTTACCATTATTCTGTTCGGTCACCTTCATATACGGTGGTCCGGCTTCTTTCCTGGGACAGGACTGGTCTGGATGGACCATTTTTGAAACATCTGCACTCTGTAAAAACATCCAGACTATATTTCTTGTTTATTTTGACAATATTAACAATATAACTACATAAATAAAGTGTAATTGCACAGGTTTGTGTACATAATACAGCCAAGTGTTTTCACTCTTTCACAAGTTCCTTTCTGACGAGTTTGTGGAACTTTATGCCCAAATCTCCTTCAGGAACAACAAAAGTCTCCCCCAGCCCTCTTTCTTCTTTCGTCTGTTTATTGCAGTCGCCCCGTTTTCTCTCTGCAGTGCGTCCACTGCGCCGCAGCTCCCCATGAAAGTGACCGAAAGTTGTTTTTTTTCTCCGTAAAGATCCGGAGGTGCGTCCTAAGAGCCCAGCTCCACCAGGCTGGACGTCAGGGGTCCGAGTAAAGCGTCCTGAAGCTGGACGGGATGACCCTGCTGCTGGACCCCCAGGCCGAGCGGGGGGTGGCTGCCGTCCCCCTGGAGGAAGCCCAGAGAGGTGGGCTCGGGAGCGTGCGTGTGCCGGGGGCTCTGTGGTGGGGAAAAATCCTCCTCAGAGCTGGACATGAGAGACTTTCTTCCTCCGTCCAGCGGCGAGAGGCGGCTCGGTCTGCTCTCACTGCCCTCCCTGCAGGAGGAGGAGACAAACAGCACCGTCAAACAACCGGCAGAAAACAAGAAAGAACAACGTTTAATCTGAGACAGAAATAAAATATAAACAGTAGAGCAGAAATGATAATTAAACATCAAACACAACCTCATATCTCCAAAACTGTAACCTTACAGGAAAAAAGAAAAAAAAAACGTTCTTAACTTTGGAGGAACAAGATTTTTTACAACTTTCGAGTCTTTCTGTTGGTCATGTTTGTCATGTTTAACAAATTTGTCATATTCCTAAGTGCCATGTTTTGTTTATACTTTTTTAAAAAGTATAAAAATGACCAAAATAGAGGTTACAAGGTTTTGTTCATGTTTCTATATACAGGCGATATAAATATTAAGGAAAAGTAAAGAAAAAAAAAACATTAGTTCAGGAAAAAAACAGAAAACAATGCTAAGGTGAGAAATTAAAATGCAAAGTAACCAGAAACACTAGAGAAAAAAATGCAAAAATAGAAGGAATTGAATATAAATATCTATAGATAAAAGCTGAATGAACCATGAGAGAGAAAAAAACGAGGAAAACAATGGCAAATAAATCTTGTAGAAAAATCTCTGTAATGAAATGAATTTGGACTTCTTTGTTCTGAACACTTTTCCTCTGATGTCTACATCAAAGGAATTTGTATCAAAATTTGTGCTTTGTTTTTTGACACTTAGAGTGACTTGTAGTTTCACTTAAAGCAGTTTACTGACTTTATGAAGCTAATATCATAAATTGAATTCATGACTGGAATTCAGTTTTAAAGCCTGAACACTTTGATCATTGTCTGTAATACTTTACTCCACTGGATATTACAACAGAACGGGATTGTTATGCTGTCTAAGAGGGCAACACAGTCTACACGTTAATATTTTAACAGAAACAAGAGTCGAGATTCCAGAATAAAATGCTAAAAGTTCTTCAGCAAATAAACATTAAATTAAAAATAATTAGAACATATTAAAACAGTAACAGTGCAAACTACTTCCCTCTTCTTATTTACTTATATCTTCAGTCTCATTAGAATTTGCCTTCAGACTGATTTGATAAACTCTTTTAGCCAAAAAGGTTATAATAAAAAAAAATTCACTTTTATTCAGAAAATTTCAGAAAATTGCGATGGCACAAAAAACCTTGGTCATTTTTTTATCCTGCACTTTTGCTTTTTCTGTTTCTGGAGTTTAATTTAAAGAAGGAGAATTTCTGACCAAAGTAAATCATTAATCACAGAGTGACCGCAGGGCAGTTTTGATCTTCTGTTTGTTGGAGAAAGTTTCATTTGCAGGTGGGTAGAGCTTTACGAGAGGCCTCTATTACTCCATTTACTCACTTCCTGCAGTGACGTGAACATCTGAGGGATTTGTGCTTTCCTGAAAGGTTTTAAGCGACTAAAGTAATCTACTTTTATTACAGCTGCATTTTCACCTTTAAGATTAGTTCCAAATTTCTTTTTGGGGTTTAATTTGATTCTTTTGTGTTGATTCAGCTCCTGTTCTCGCTTTGGAGCTTCACTGTTTCGTTTTGGACCAGAAAGATCCAAAAACAGAGGAACATAACCGTACACACTGCAATCTGCATAATCTATAGGTTCTGTGATATTTTGTAATAGTTATTATATTATATGGCTCTTTAGCTCCTTCCACATCAGCGCTTCATCATAATTTCTTACTCTTTATTCTATTTACTCTGATTTATTTTATTTCTGCCACAGTTAAATATTTATTAACACTGTATGTCACTGCTGTCTGAACAAATCTCAAACTTTTTTGCAGAATTTGAAAAGGCCAGCTGGTCTTTACAGTGTGCTAAAGTTTCATTACGAATGGACCAATAGAAAAGCTCCAAATTACTTACATTAATACTAATATTTCTGGTTCAATTGACTTCCATTCAAAGATAAGTAGGTTTTTTCATTCTCTTGTAAAGTTATTATTCAATAATCAATAATAATAGATAGATAATAATCAAGCACACAGACTATTAACAAGTCTGTTTTAAAAAGACTGTTAAAAGTCTTGATTATAATCTAGTACATATAATAAATATTACATATATATCTATACATCATACAGATATTGTTACATAATATCTCTACGCTCTGTAAAATATCTAAGGAAGAACAAAATGATGCAAAAAAAGAAGAATAGAGCTGAACAAACTTCGGTTCCTCTACTGAGGGATGCTGGATGGAGTAAAACGCTCTATAAGCTCTGTAATATCTATAAGTAAAACCTGTATAATCTGTAAGATGTATAATATCCGGTAGACTATAGTTATTGTTTCCTTAGACCTGCATATAAACTATTGGCAAGTGTGTTTTTATAATTATTATATATAACAGATATTACAGATATATCTATACATCATATAGACACTGTTACATCATATCTATAAGCTCTGTAATATCTATAAGTAAAAGGTGTGTGATCTGTAAATTCCGTAACATTCTGTAGATTATAATACATGTCTCTTCAGCCCTGCATGTTGACTATCAACACCTCTGTTTTTAAAAAGACTAAAAAAGTCCTGATAAGCATCATATATTATAGATAGATATATCTATATATCATATAGACACTGTTACATCATATCTATAAGCTCTGCAATATCTATAAGTAAAAGGTGTGTCTCCTCAGACCTGCATACGCAGATATTCACACATCTGTTGGGCTCCTCTCACATCAGCCCTTCAGTATTATTGTTTACTCTTTATTCTGTTTATTCTGATTGTATTTTATTTGTGCTTTAGTTTCATATTTCGTCTCTGTGCTTGTCTGGTCTGTTCAGTGTGTCACACGTGTGATTTGCCAAGACTAACTCCTCATATGTGGAACATACTGTGGCGAAATTAAGAGATCTGAATCTGATTCAGTACATAAATATATTTATTTATGTATTTATTTATTTATGTATGTATTTATTTATTTATTTATTTATTTGAGTTGCGACTTCTAAACTTCTACTCAAATTCCTTTTTTAAGAGCTACTTTTACCGCTTCACTGCAGTAACAGTACTTTTACTGTACACTCCTACAAACTGTGGTCCTTCAAGGGTTCTTTAGTAAAGACAGGGGTTCTATATAGAACCATGAACACTCAGAGAACCCTTTGCATGATTAAATGGTTCTTCAGATTGATAAAGAATGTGTTGTGCATGGTTCTCTATAGAACGTTTTTGCAAATAGCTCTATATAGCACCAAATGTGGTTTTCCTAGATTATACAATACACAAAAAATGACAACAATAGAAGAACCCTTTTTTGTGCTGTATAGAACCGTGTACAACATATTCTCAATCAATCTGTGGAGCCATTTCATCATGCAGTGCAGAGAAACCCCTTAAGCATGAAAAGGGTGTGAGTGTTTATGGATCTATATGAGTCATTGTATTTACTAAAGAACCCTTGAAGAACCATCTTTTTGAGAGTGAATAAACCTCCGATTGTTTAGAAAATGAAGTGGTGAGATGCTAAATCATTCCTGCAGTTTGATCCTAGCACAGTTTTGCTCTTTAATTCCCTCAATTTATTTTTTCCCTCCTCTTTCTGAGGTTCTTTCGGCTCTTCTCCCTCTCTGACGCCACTGTTATGCGCATATTAATGCTTCTTATTCATTAATTAAATGGAAAAGAATGCAAAGTGATTGAGTTATTACTGAGTTATAGCCATGATTAAGAGAATTCCGATCCTACCATAATCTCTCTTTCATTCTAAACCTCTCTCTCTCTCTCTCACCTCTCCTTAGCCTCGGCCGCCCGGTCCCTCTGCCTCCTGTTTTTGAACCAGTTGCTGACCTGTGTGGTGCTGAGGCCGGTGGCCTGGGCCAGCTCCCTCTTCTCCCGGGGCGAGGGGTAGGGGTTGTGTGTGTACCAGTCCCTCAGCACACTCCTGGACTTCTCCTTGAAGCAGTAGCTGGTCTCCTCGCCATCCCAGATGGTCCTGGGCAGAGGGAACTTCCTCCTGACCCGATACTTGCCAACGGCGCCCAGCGGCCGGCCGCGCAGCCTCTCGGCCTCAGCGTAGTGCGCCCGCAGCCAAAGCTGCTGCAGCTTGGAGTGGTTCTGTGCCGAGAACTGGTGGCTCTCCAGGATCTTGTAGAGCTCCCTGAAGTTGCCCCGGTGGAAGGCCACCACGGCCTTGGCCTTCAGCACCGACTCGTTCTTGTGGAGGTGCTCACAGGCGGGCAGCGACCACAGGAAGCGGCCCAGACGCTCCAGGTTGCCGCCCTGCTGAAGAACCTCGCACACGCACGCCACCTGCTCCTGCGTGAAGCCGAAGGACGGGGTGATGGACATGACCTCCTGAAATCCAGAAATCCAACTCGCTAGAACCTTCTTCAGGGCCAGGATACGATATTCCTTCCAAAGTCGGGAGAGTGACCGCAGGAGCGCTAATTTTTCAATAATTATTACTTATTATTACCACTTAATTTACAATATTTGCGCATATATTTGTTATGTCTTGTATATTAACTATTAACTAATATTAGAAATGCTAGAAAATTAATAATGTAATTTACATTAAATCTTTGAAAGCTTGGCTCATATTAAGGCTGATTATCCATTATGTATAATGAATTATGTAGCAGATATTATTAAAAACTAATGCGCACGTTGGATTAAACTGCTAAACTCTAAAAAGGCTAATTTTTCAAATAATGATTTCAAGTCTTATTACTAAACAGTGTAACTTATTCTGTAAGTACAGTCAGTCATAAAGTCTACCAAAAAACTAATATTTAAATTATATTAATCTTAAGTAACACTATGAAACTTGTAAGCTACACCTTAAACTCAAAACTCATTATTAAATTATTAATTATTAATCTTGAGTTATCATAGCGTCCTATAATTAGTGTGAATTACTATACTATGAGTAACTATTAAATAAATGCAAAACTGCAGGCCTGTTGTTAATTAACAGTTAAAATGAATACTTTATTAGTTATTCTAAGTTATTATAAGACTTATTTTCCAATAACTACTCAGAATTTTTCAGTAACTGGCACAAAACATTGCCTAAAAGTCTTACAGACCTATGAAATATGTGATAACTATTTGAATTATACAGCGACTTCTATACAAATGGCTATGTGAGTTATGTTAAAGCTCACCAGCTTATTATTGAGTTATTAATATTAAGGCTAATTATGCAGTAGCTGTTATGAATGTAGTTATTATGACACTTATAAGCAAGTTATATTAACCCATTAATATCTAGGCTTATACTCAGTACTCAGTAACTGCTATGATACAGTAATAATAGAGTAATTACAGTGAAGCTGGTCTGTAAGCCGTGCGGTGATGAGCTGAGAGCGGATCGTCGTCCTCAGTGTGGAGAGTGAATCCGGACGCGGCCGAGAGGAGAGTTTAATCCGCTCTGTTACTCCGGACTCAGCAGATCTGAACTGAGAGACACTCAGTCTGCACTTCCACCTCCAGAGGGAGGAGACACACTCACACACACACACAC